GCGGTGACATCAACTTATGAATCCCTTCCACTTGCTTCATCAAACGGAATGAAAGTCACTTAAAAAACAACCTGTTAATGTATTAATTAAAACATAGTTTTTCTACATGCCTACATATCTACTAATTTGTTACTTGCGTAGAGTTTAGGTGTGAATAATGAGCTTAAAGCCTATATCAGACATTAAAGCTTGGTCTCTGTCACCCAAATTCTTACCATTTTATTATTTAAATAGTTATAATCTCAGAAGTATCAAATAATACGACTTGCAGTCTCAGAAAATTATAATTAAGGTAAATTATTTTTATTAACATCTAACTTTTGTTCAAAAGATCGGAGAATAAGTTTTTAAAAATAATATGGCGCTCACGGCTAGTTGGTCTAATTATGATTTGAATAGGAATTGGTTTTCAACTACTATTGTCCCAGTCATCTCAAAGCCTTATTAGTTTTTAAACTAGTCTTCACTATCTCCCTCCGTTTCCATACGTTCCCCATATATTCATAACGCAATCTACAATTCTATTGGTTTAGGCTTCTCTTTCTCGGTAGACTACAATACTTCAAAACACTTTATCTTTCTTTCTATCACTTAGTTCATCATTCTGAAGATCTAAGAACCAACCAGGTTACAAAATATATTCGACCCAATAATAATGATTCACACCAACATATTCAATTTACGCGAATAAACGAAAGTATGAAGACCAAGATGGTGTGTCTTTTCGTGTGGTCGCAGTCACCTTTCGTTGTATAGAAGTTGTTTGACCTTGTTTTCGCAACTCGGTCATATTGGTAGGAAGACTCAGAGTAACGCACCGGAGTCCATTGTATGCATAATCATTTCCAAAGTCGGACCGTGGAGGTGGTACATTCCAAGATGCTTCGCCGGCATCAAAGTCGGCATCATCAATGAGTCTCGCCATTCTTAGCACCCTTCAACAACTCGTCAAAGAGACAAGTGAAGCCATTCCTTTGACCAAACGTGTGCTAAACAGTTATGGTATCTCCCCATTCTGCCCTGGCCTATTTAAATTTCGCATATCCTCCTATCACATCTTCACTGTCACCATTTTTTTGTTTGCTTAATTAAATGTGGTACGGTGTGCGTTTTTGACTGGCTTTCATTAGAATCCTCCGTGCTCCACGCTGGCCTTATCACCCCCCTTCATCCTTGTGCTGCGAATGTTAATCAGATTCTGACATATTGTTACGCAGTCCTCCTTCCCTAGGTCTTATCACAGTCTCTCTCTTGCCCCGTAAGATCCGTCTGCCCTCTCCCTGGTTCACATATTTCACTCGACTTCTGCCACCCCATCTGTGCCACTCGAGACGTTATTCGCGTCTTAGTGACTAATTCGAGGCTAAAGTCTCTGAGTAAGTCTTATGATCAGGCCTTTGCCAGATGGACCATGTCTCTTGTAAAACCTACTATCAGCCCATAAGCTCGAATCGCCGCTGTATCTATTTTGTTTCTATCTCTAATACCAAGTCTATGACTTGCCATGCTCTAGTCTCTTGTGTGCTAATCCACAAATGTTGTGGTACTATGTTCAATGTTAAACCACAACGTTTGTGGATTGGCACACAAAAGCTTAGGACATACGAAGTCATAAATTTGGAAACATAGATAGTAAGAGGATAAAAACAGTGGAAACTAGAGCTAGTTGGATAACAATCGTCGTGATTCAAGAATCACTTCTATGATCAATCATGACTAATTTTAGCCAAATAGCTTTAAACTCCACCGCGTCTTTTCTATCTCTATCTATAATACCATGTCCATCACTTCCTACGTCCTAGTCTCTTATATGCCAACCCACTAATGTCGTGGTTCTACTAGTTTTGATTAGGCTCACTGAAGACGTCCCCTCTTGGCTTCTGATTGTTCACTTCTCATCCCCTTGCGATCTCTTTTCCTAAAGTTAAGAATAGTACCTTGAAATAGTCGTCTTGTTTTAGCTGATATTGCTGTTGCCTGGTCTTATCCAGGTTTGTTTATGCAATATACAAAGTTTTCGCTGATACCGTCTTCTGCAAATATCCTGTTCATTAGATTTCTCTTGGTCCGTATATTGATGGCCTCTCGGATCTTGCGTTCTCTCGTATTTTCACCATATCCAGCCAATCTTTCGGTCGAGTTCGTGCCCTGTTCGTGCAATGTGTTTCACTATTTCGGATCTTTTACTCTCCCTGTTCCTACAGAGTCTTTGACGTTCCTTGATTCGTAGGCCGATTTTTCTTCCTGTTTCACCGAAATACTTTTGCTTACAGTTGTCGCATTTGATTCGAAAAAGTCCCAAGCAATCAAGTTTGTCCGTATTTTCGTGTTACTTCGGCAGACTTGTGAAAAGTCTTTTCTTCTCCTTTGTTTTCACCCTGATGTTCCATT